CTTAGATATTTAAAAATGTAGGCCCTATCTATTTGGAATTGGCGGAGGGGCATCGGTGCCCGGTGGGGAAGTTTGGCGGCATGGTGGGGGACTTTACCGGCCCTTGGAAACGATCTGACAGCAACTGAGCTGCCAGAATCGCTTCCATTGTAAAGCCAGCCAAAGTAGCCAGCTTTACAATTGTAAACAGAGTCCCGGTGGCTTTAAATGGGCCTGCTGCCACCGACATAAGGCTTAGGGCAGCAGTACTTCCATTTATTAGCTATAGCTATATTAGTATGTGACATGTGTACACCAATGTATTCTTACAGGGTAATTGATATATTATGATGTGCTGCCCATTCAGAACATGCAATTAGCTGTGATGCTTTGAAGGGGCTTACTTAAAGTGACATAAATAGACTATATAAAGGTTTATAAGATGGTATGCTTAAAGTGGCTATATATGAGAACGGTATTTTATGCTAAGAAAGTGCCATGGATTTCACCTCTGTCCCCCACTCTAAGGTTCCATTCACACATGAGCGGTTTACCACATGTATTCGGCCCTACGATACGCGCGGAATCCCTTTAAACATAAAAAACAATGCATTTTAATGTGCATTGTTCAGACTATTGCGGGGCCCGCATGGTTTTGTCCCATAAAATAGTCCAAGCACAATTTCAGGGGCGGATTCCGCAAGTTCCCGGCTACAGTAATGGCCGCAAATGAGCGGAATACATGCAGATGTAAATATTTTAGCGTTTTCGTGCCGTGCGGTCTTCCGCGCGGGAAATGCACACGCTATATGTGAATGGAGCCTAAGTGTTCATAGATACTGTATGAGAATAATTTCACAGCCTTTTCAACCACAGCAAAGCTCAAGGAATGCTAATGTCAGTATTACTTATGAACACATAAATTAGGATCACATAATGGTCACATAGAGTTAGCAAAAATGTCTACATCAAGCAAGGATAGGTTGGTCCCTGGTTCGGATCCCGGTCAGGACACGATCTGCGGAATTTGTATGTTCTCCCTGTGCTTGTGTGGGTTTCCTCCGTGCACTCCGGTTTCCTCCCACACTCCAAAGAGATTTTGGAAGATTAATTGGCTCCTGACCAAATTGGCCTAGTATGCGTGAACAATAGAAACCTTTGATTGTAAGCACCTTTGGGGCAGGGACAAATGTGGATGTAAAGCGCTGCGTAAATAGTTGGCGCTAATAAATAAATTATAATATTGCTTGCCAAAATCAATTCACTAGATAGCTGAATGTTACTGTGGCCTAGGCCTGCTTGAGCTAATACAAAACAAGCTTTTAAATGTTTAATTAATTTTCTTATACAGGTAACAACCATAATCTCAGCTCGCAGTGCCATAATTACAGTATGTTATTTCATTGCTTACAGATATTGAATGACTGTTGTATGAGCTTCATCTGCTCCAGTCTATGGTTTTATTAGATATTTGCACCGGCCCGTTCGGCATTTGTCTTCCGAGCACGCCACTAACCCGTCGAAAATCTCACGATTTTCGGCAGGTTTTCAAGCGTGCTCGGAAGACAAAAGACGTGCGACCGTACAGTAGAAACGGTCGCACGCCTTCCATACACCTGCCGATTATCGTACGATCGCAGGATCACCCGCGATTATCGTACAATAATCGGCAGGTGTATGGGCACCTTAAGAGTAGTAAGCTTATTTATAACTGGATTCAAGAATATTGTGGGGGGAGAGATTTATTTCAGAAGGGCATTTATTGATTTCTTGTACAAATGATGTCCTTGATGCAAAGTATATTATAATATGACATAATATATACTAATAAAGTATAATGATAATAAATAATACAAATAATTATTAATAATAATAATGATAACAGCAATAACATAGTTTTCACTATCAATATGTTGTGTGCACACAAAATTGGAGGTTTATCTTGTTTTAGGAATACTAACAAGAGCATTTAGCCAATAGCAAAACAGTCTGTGTAGATGGCTTCTCTTCAGTATTCCGTTTTGGCGTTATTTGAGCATTATTATATATAACCCAGAGCAGGCCTATGGAATCCAGCAGGTAATGCTTTGTTTACACTACAGAAGTGTATATTTTTAGGAACATTTTTGTTTGGTATGCAAAGTATTAGTACGTGTTTTTGCTCGGGTGTAAATTATCCTTTTCACGAGCTGATGTGAAACCGAGTTGTTTCCATTTGGCTCTGTACAAAGAAAGCATGCTCGGTACTGCACACCGACTGCAAGGCTCGGGCTGCAGCTGATGGTCCAATGGCTGGCAGGGCCGAATTTCCCACAAGGCCTAACAAGGCCCGGGCTTGGGGCAGCAAGGAGTAGAGGGGCAGCAGGGGTGTGGAATTCCTATCTCCTGATGCCTGGGACATGCATTTCCATGGCGCCGGGCAGGTAGTTGTTTTCTACATTTAGCCCTGCTTTGTACAGTAAATGTACAACATTGATGCCTCCGCTTGTTTTGTACAAGTGATCTCGGCGATGTCGGGAGTGCATGGAGAAACATGACCTTGGGGCAGTAGAGAGAGTAAATCCCGCACTGATGGCTGGCTACATCTTTGTCTACTGTAGACTTGACTTCCAACTGCCCCCTTTTACCCAAATTCTTCCCACCACAAGTTTCCTCTTTCACATTTGATTTATACAGTATGTTAGTTACTAGAAATAAATCTATCATTTAGAAGAAAACACTTTCTCAAAAGTCAAGATTTGGGTATTAGAACACCCCGGGGTCTGGGGGCATGGATAAGACATTTCATTTATGATGCTAGTTCAGGTAGTTTTAAAAACAGATAGGTTTACCTTTAAGAAGAACTTCACCACACCCAACCTTTTTTTGTTGGGTTATGTACAAAAAACATACTCACATACCCACCGCTGCACATCTGGGCTCTGACCACCACACCATCTTCTTCTCTGACATCATCAGGGGGTCCAGTTGTCTTATTCAGGTTCTTGCAGCTGGCTAACTGATGATGCAAATGTGCTGAGGTGCTTCATCAGGTGGGGCGGCTGCAAGGGGCGGATCCAGGAAGAGACAGCCAGCCCCCAATGATGTGCTTTGGCGCATGCCACGTCAGGGCCGGATTTACTCTCCCTGCCGCCCCAAGGCCAGGTCCTGTGATGCGCGCCCCCCCCGGGGAACCCCCCGCGCAAACCTCCCCTCCCTTCCCATCAATGGAGAATGGCAACCAGATGGCAGGGCAGCGGGGTTAGTGTCAATTATTTTTACTGTTTCTTAATTTTTTTTAAACTTTCTTATCACTTTTTATTTTTTTAAAATAATTTCTTCTTATTTTTTTATTTTTATTTATTTCATTTAATTTTTTATATTGCATAAACACTAAAGTGTTTTTTTTCCTGCTTTTGCAGCCAATTTGGGATAACATCTATTTTATATTTGTGACATGTTCCCATTCATATAGCATAAACATAACAAAAAAAATACTTCTTGCAGTTAAAATTTATTTTGCTTGGGTAAGGCCCCATTCACACTGAGCGATTTATAGAGCGATTTTTGCAGCGATATCGCTCATATTTCCACGCGATATCGCTCTATGTAGCTTCTCCAATCCATTTCAATGGAGCTGTTCACATCTCGCCTCTCAATATCGCTCAATATCGCTTGTAGCTCGTCGCTGGTAGCTTG